GGGGGAAAGCACAAGGGGAGACAGGATTGCCCTGGCAAGTCAAGGCCGTAGAGAGCAGAATGGGTGACTGGGCAGGGACTGTCCCCCTGGAAGCAGGGTTTTCAGTGTATGACTTCATGTTCATCAGTTTAAGACATTTTGGGTTACAGGGAAAAGAGATGGAAAATGAATAAATGAGGGGTCACTTTGCTCATGTGTGAAAGATCAAATTGTTACTAGGTTTAGATGCCAAAGCATCTAAATCTGGGTTTCCATGCGAAGGAAACTCTGTATTCAGAGTCGAGGAAAGGTCATAGCCCTCCAACTTAAGTGTACAAGAAAAGTTCAGGATCTCATGTAGCTTCAGAAAGCATTAAGGATTACAATGCATATTGAACAGCTTTGCTGACCTGTCTGAGTTTGCCATAGTTATGACAGGAGTAGAGCTTCCAGAGGTGTTCAGAAGACTTATTGAAAACTGGGCTGTAGCTTGAAAAGCAATAGAAGATAAATGCCTTTTTGTTTTAAAAAATATTCTTCTTAGTCTGCTATTTCCATTAAGGACTCATTTCTTACCACAAAGTCTAGGTATCAAATGCTCGGCTATCTGCAGGGCTCTGGAATAGTTCTTTTCCTAAGGGAGCCATACTGTGTAGCTTTAGAGAGGAGGGGCCTGATGCTAAGCAGAAAACCCTCCTATCCAGCAATTCAAGAAATCTGTGGTAAATATTGGAAAAGACTTGTATTAGTGCAGCAGAAGGTAGGAAGAACATGCAGGGTGCATTTCAGCTCACTCAGGCAAATGGAGGTCTGACCAGATGGGATCTCGACCCTGCTGATGACCTGCATTTCACATTAGAAATCCTTCCCCAGAAGAAATACAATAGTATTTTTGTAAGAAATACTCTAGTTCTTTAGATGCAAGAGAAAGGAGTGACATTCTTTGGCCTGTACAGCTGGGTTACTTGAAGTGCTTATTTGTGTTTTCCAGCCTATGTCCTCCCAGTGAAACTGGAGATGGAGATGATGATTCAGCAATATGAGAAGGCAAAGGTTATTCAAGATGAGCAACTGGAAAGACTAACCCAAATCTGCCAAGAACAAGGGGTAAAGTTCAGTTATGTCTTTATTTACACATAGATTGTCATGGCTAATTGAACAGTCCATGTACTTTGCTGCAAGCTAAGGTCTGAGAACGATCACTAGGACTTGTGCTGTAAGGTGACAGGTCTCTGTGTTAAGAAAGTCTTAGCTGCAGACGGGATATTGTCAGCATGCTACTTGTCAAACAGCAGTCGTTTTCTGCTGTTGTGCTTGTGTTTTTTAAGGTGAGGAAAACAAATGTGAGGAATAGAAAAAGAATGTTTCCAGTACGTAACTTATCGAATGAATACAGATAGCTTGACATAATACTAAGAAGATGTAAAAGTCATTGCTGTTGTTGGAGACTGCGGATATATCGAGGCCATATCCTGGGAAAAGTATGTGCAGTTTAAAGCTAATGAATCTCCCTGCTTTAAATGCAGAAGGCATCTTTGCCGTAGGTCAATCAGAGGCTCTTTTGGCAGACTCAGAATGTTGCAATAGAAGCCTCTAGTTCCTGGAAGCAAGTCAAGATTTAAGACTCTTCCCAGGTCCCCAAATGTTCAGTAATTCAGTCTTGAGATAAGGGAAGGTTGTAATAAGATATACAAGATATGAGAATAAAATATCTCAAATCAATATATTTACTTTAAAAAGGTGTAAAACCACTGTTTGGGAAATGATCCAGGGTCTTTTGCAGTTTGTCACCTGCAAATGAGTTCTTGAATAACTTGCTTTCAAGTAGAAATCAGGTAGGTGTGTTGAGGCCCAGGCTAAGCAAGCTTTCGGGTGACCATCAAGCCACAACAGAATGATTCTCCAGTGACATCTTTTTTCTGTCGTAAGGGTAACTGTATGATGTCCAGATAAATCCTGGCGATTTCTAGCTTCAACTTCTACTCCCCACTTGAAGTAGGTGCTTTTCAAATACAAAACTAGGAGACCTGTAAGTACAGGTGGCTCAATCAGTCAAAAAGTTGAAGGACCTGAGCAGACAGGAGAAGATGCAACCTGTCCCAGAACAGATGAACTGCCCGAAAGGTGCATAATCTAAAGCAGGGATTTAGGTGCCCAACTTTTACCAAGGAACCTAAAATACTAGTGAGACCATCAGTAGTTAGGTCTCCCCGTGGCTTCTTAGACGTAGTTGCAGCTCTCATGGATCTCAGACTAGGATTCTGCAGTGAACTCTTGGTGGTGTTAGGTTGCTTTGTCTGAGTGATGAATTTGGAATACCTGTTGACAGTGTGCATCATTTCATAACACTGTTTTTGAGAGTCTCACACTAATAGATGAACTGAATAGATGCTGATTCACCTTGAGGCTGCATCTTTGTGACTATGCTGCTGATTTGCATTTATTTAATAATTATAGAGAGGGCTGAAAACATTCCTGTTAGAAAGATTTCCCAGAACTTCCTTTGTGAGATCGTGTGTTCAGTTCTTACTACTTTGCCATTTGTTGGCAACCAGCATTGTAATTCTCAAGGTCTGGCATCTTCTGCAGATGAAATTATTTTGCAAGTTTCAGACAAAATATTAATTACTTGTGAAGAGGAATTAGGAAGAAAATACTGGCCTGTTTTGTTTGAGATTTAAAATAAAAACAATTGGCAGCCAGTCCTCTTGAGAAGTCCTGTGCCTTCCTGTTTATAAGCTCATAGTTAACACTTGGCACACACAGAGTTCCTGCTTTAAAAAAATAAAAGCAGGAAAGTTACAACCTCCCTTCATCTTACTTTTTGAATTCTGTGTCTTTTGTCAGTTGTCTCTTTCTGTCAGTGATAGAGTATCACAACTGTAAAGTACATTCCCGTTCCTGAATGACATTGGAGACGTACTTCCATGAACATGAAAACTCTTTCCAGATGTTGATTTTTTTTGGCTAGCCATACAGCTGAAAACCAGAATATATTTTATACATTATATTTGCACGGACCACCACTTTGTTCTCTGTGGTACCCCACTGAAGCTGTTTGAATAGTTCGCTGTTTTCTTTATTCTCCATTGGCCGATAAAGAAGTTATTAAAAGGGAGTGGTGGAATATGAGGGCAATCAAGGCAGAAAATACTGAAAGGGCTGAGATGACTCTACAGAACTTCACAGAACAGGAGAAACAGTAACGATCACAGTAACAGGGATTTCTAAAAATGAGTAAAGGTAAAAGGTAAAAAAGTCTCACTGCAACTGCAATTACTACCAAAAATATGAACAGAGCATATTGCTAACTGTTCTGTTTTATCAGAATAACTTAATTAATTAGCAAGACAAACTTCTGAAGTTTCATAAACAGTGCAAATTCCAGCCAGGGAAGATTGCTTTTTTTAACTGTGGAATCACCTGTGAAGGAATTTCCATTTCTGATAATAGATATACTTACGTGATCTTTTCTGCTTAACTTTCCCAAGTGTCGTTCAGCTGAGTACAGTCCAGCCAAGACCGTGTGTTCAGCCGGATCACAGGAGCTCGTTTTCTGGCAGCTCCTACAGAACAGAGTTGCTCATTGTTCTCAAAGCTGCAACGACTGTGGAAGCCCTAATTTCTTTTTTATGTTTTAATTTGTACAACAGCTGCTAGTTTAATGGCAGAGCTATTTAGCCGGTAAAACTACCTATCAGAGAAATAATTTGTTATCCTTTATGCAATAATTTTAATTTATTTCTAACTACCAGCCATTCTCTTTGTGAACGGGACGCAGCCAAGGTCGTCCGGGGTTTCATTCTGTCCATAAATCATTAGTTTGCAACTGTCTCCTGCTTTTTATTGTTACCAACATTGGCTAAACTAATGGAAGTAAACATTGCATTGTGTCCCAGTGGCAGATGAGTTTTAAGGCAGGGCGTTCTGTACAGACACCAGTAATAGAATTGAGCAAAGTTATTACTCCTACATTAGACAGGAGTAAGCTTCTGACTACAATGTTCATTGATCTCTCTGAAAGTATGTCAATCTTACTCTATTGCTAGACCATTAAAGGGAAGTACTATACGATTCACTGCTTTGTCCTTTTTTGGAGGCTTAGATGCATGTTGTGAAATAGCAGATAGGATGGGTGATACAGTTTATAAAACCAGACATGCAAATTGAGATGTTACCTAGAGCTTTGGGTAGGTCTCTGTCGTTTTACTTGCTTGTAAATAATCCCTTCATGCATTCTTGGAGTGAGGAAATGCACAGGTGTGCCCCATAGTTCTTCCTGGTTTGTTTCCTGCCAAAACATTGTTAAGTTTGTGCTACAAGAGGACACGTAACAAATTTTGATAACACTAAGTGGGTTTAAATTTACCATCAATTAAGCTTCCTTTCATGCCTGACAGTCTAGTTACCCATTCTTACATGAGATGATCTGTATCTCCTTCACTCTTGGTAATATGTGTATTTTCACATTTGCCACATTTATTACACCTTTATTGCTGTCTTCAGCTCTATCATGGGAGGTGCACGGTGACAGTACACAAGCTTGGAATGTGCAAAACTCCCACTGTGTATAAGAAGAAGCATTTTCACTAGGAGAATGGTCAGGCACAGGAGCAGATTGCAATGGAGGTTGTGTGGTATGTGCATACAATGTTAGAGATGCTCACAACTTGTGAGGACAGGCTTTTAGCAAACTGAGCTAAACAGACTTGCTTTAAGTGGGATGTTGGACTAGGTGACTCTCACAGGTCCATTTCAACCTCGGTTATTCTGTGATTCACTGAAGTTTTCAAATATGCTTTTTCAATTGCAAAATGTATTGGGAACTTACTGATAAAGGAACCCACCAGAAGCGACTAAAGTGTATGTAATTAAAGGAATTGAAAATTGTTGCTGTCCTGGTAAATGTCAGTAGCAGTCTCGAGTGGACCAGTGCTCAGTTTGTAATTATCTTGAGTCAGGAGATGGTTTACCTTAGTCTCTTTGATGGCAAAGAAGTTATCTTCCATGCAACAGCATTGTTTTCGCACTGGCTGGCTTGTGGGATTTGAATGATTCTTAACACACAGCTGATACCTACGAGTGAGTCTTAGCTGAAACAAAATAAAGCATATGTATTCAGCTATATGCCTTTTTTTTTTTTTTCCCTACCTCATGATATGCATAATATGTATCCTTCCTTAAAAGCTGAAGGCAGGATAGTGTAGCTGAAGGCAGGATGAAAATATGAAATGTGTTTTTTTTCTCCGTACAACCCTCTTGCAGCTTTCTCTATTAGAGAGGCTCAGGTCTACATTCAGATAGCTACATCAGGTTCTACTGCAAATAGAAATTTCATGGGTTTAGCTTGGGCCAGAATTTCTGCTTAAAAAGCCTGTAATATTTTACACCTTTTAATAATTTGTTTAACCTGTCTTGGACTGCATGGCATGCAGTCAGAGCAATCTCATTAGCTCTTTGACATATTAGAACTGCCCAAGGTCGGTGTTCAATATGATGTTCAATAGATAGAAGCACCTACAACGTAATTTGAACATGCAGTCTGTCATGGAATTACACCCATAAGGTACACCCAGGTCTCTTAGTCTTACCCTTTGTTTTTAGTGGGTTGCTTTCAGTGGCTGAAACTGTATTCTAGCTTCTACAATATCTTGTGGTGATTTAAAAGTAATAATTCGAAACAATATTAAATTGATCTCCTCAATAGATGTGTGCCTTTTGTGAGCAGAAATCTGTTTCTTGTTTAACTTGTCCTACATATTTTATTGAATGTTCTTTCACTTTCTGAAATTAATCCTTATGATAAATGGTGATTTTTCCATCCCACCGAGTCCCTTTTTGAACATGCTAGAGGCTTGGAGAGTTTGGGTTTGCATTTGGAAGCAGTATGTTGGGTTGGGTTTTGGCTCTGTCTTAATGCTCTGTGCCTGCAACAGAGTTATGGTTCTGTGTCTCTGTGGAACACGTCTGGATCACTTTACATCAGTAGCAGTAAATGCAGGAGTGAGACAGGCACCATTATTACTATTAATACCCTCCTCTCTATCAATAAAATAGACATTTACACAAACCAGAGTATTTAATTCTAGCTTTCTGCTGGTTTCATGACTACGTGGACTTCAGGTCAAATGTGAATGTGACCTGGGAACTGACCATCTGAGGTAGTGGAGCAATGGAAGGGAGAGCCCGTGTTAACCAGCTGCAGCTGTGTAGGTTTGTAGGCAACATCAAGTTTCTGCTGTTACCTTTCTGAAAGTCTCTGTGTGTATTGTTCACCTTACACATGATGTTGAAATCCAGAGCACTGTGCTGCTTTACTGTTCCTTAGAGACTCAATCTTCATGTCTGCTCTTGACAGTCTCATGTTCAGTCCTGGATTTTAGACTAGCTGAACTAGCTTGGTTTTAAGAGCTGGAAATCAGACAAGCATGTGGATTGTGTTTGTAGCTAGCAATAAAAGTGTGTTCATATACCACTGAAAACGTTGCAAGTCCCGTTTCCACTTCTTATCATGAGGCAGTAAATGATGGAAGCATTGCATGAGCCAAGACTTCGGGTCTAGGTTGCTGTTTCTGCTAGAACGTGCCACTAGTGCCATCTCCATCAGCAGGTGCTTCCTCGGCTGCTGTAGGCACAAGCATGTATTTCTGTCTTTCAGACATAAGATGGCAGCAAATCCCCTCCCATTTTTGACGTGTCCAGAGGTATTAACTGTTCACCTGGGTAACTGCAGTAGTCATTTTCTCTGTGAAATCATTTCTCATGCTGTCTGCATGGTTGGGATTCAACTGAGATAGTAATTCATGCCACATAAATAGGAAATGAAGAATTGTTTGAACAAAATGTAGCTATCCAGCATGGTGATCCTAGCAGTGGTTGCAGACTTGCTACTTGTTCCAGCATGCCAGGCTGAGTAGTTCATAGCTTGTTAGCAGAGCCATATTAAACGATATTCCAGATGGTCTTTATTTAGCTGAATGACACTTTCATGCAGGCACCCCTGGTATGGCATGGGCACCTTAAGCCTCAGGAAGCTTAGGGCTGGCTGGGAAAAGGGCTAGCATAACCAGTTTACCCCTTCTTTCTAGCTGATAGGTTAACGCAAAACGCACCGTCTGGGATCTGCCGTGGAGGTTTCACTGACGGAATCAAGGAGCAGGGCTATATTTTGACGTTTACCAATAATACCTGACTCCTCTGACTGCCACTGCCAGAGAACATTTGGTTAAGAGCAATGACCATTTTGTGCAGCCCGCTGTCTGCAGCTGCCAGGCCTCTGTCCAGTGAGTGCAAGACAGAGGAAAAGCTGCATGCTTTGTTAGTTCTCTGTATTAGGTGGTCTGAACGTGATCTGGAAAACTTAAACCCCACTTCTTCTCTCTAGATCGGAGTCTCGCAGTGGGCCTTCCAGTTACTGTAGTTCCTTCCCTTACGCTCTGGAAACAGATAGTGTCCAGATGTGACAAACTGGAATCCCTTTTTCTTTCGTATTTTTTTTTTCCTTTCTAAAATCTGCAGAAACTGTTTTGTTTCCACTCCAGTTGCTTACACAGTTTAGAGGAACTGCTGGTGCTCTGCCTGGGGTTTGCGCCGTGTCTGATGTGGACCATGCTGGAACAAACTAGGTCCACTGACGGACTGCAAAATCTGACAGAAAAGTAGATTTGAGTCAGCATCTGAGAGGCAAGAGGGAGAAGCAGATTCATTTAGCCTACATGCTGTTACACACAAGTTTTCAGGCATCGAGGTGCTGATTCTGTGTCCGTTGTAAATGTGGTGTGACAGGTGCAGTGTGGCTCGCCGTGGCATCGTGCTCTCTGACAGCTTTTCAGGCCTTCAACTGTGGGAGGCCCGGCAATGCTAAATTTTAAATGCCTTAGCCTATTACTTGCCTCATTTGCTTTTCCCTCTCAGACTCTCTATAAATTAGACATGCCTTGTTCACTGCTGTACTACTGATCTTAAAAAGAGTTTAAAATAGAGAAACTTTGCCACACAGCTTCATGGCTGTGCTGGATGGCAGAGGGGAAGGAGAGCTGGATTTTGTAGTGCTTAAGTAAGGGTTTAAAGGGTGTCTACAGCCTCTCCAGAAAAATTATTTTGCTTTTTGCCTTGTGGAAGACCTGTGGCTGTCAAACACAACCAAAATATGCTGTGTCCATCAATCAGACTGTATCTGGTAGCTTCTGTCTTTTTGTCAGGTGTCTGCATTATAACACCAGTCGTGAGGCAAATCCCCTCCTGACTGCAGGAAGTCATTAACTGCTGTGGCTCATATATTTGGGGGGAGTAGACAGAAAAGTGCCAGCCTTCCCCAGGGTTTTCTGCACACTGACTACAGAAGATTTCATGCTGGAAGAGGACTGGTGCAAGGGAGGGACAACCATTCTGGGTGCTGCTTAGAGAACTTTCCTTTGCAGAAATCGTTATTACAAATCCTAGCAGCTTAGGCACATTTCTCATGACCCTGAATCCCTGATTGCCTGCTAAGGGTGGTCTTCGATAAAGTTTTAATTTGGTTTGGCAGTTAGACCTGTTAAAAATTGTCCGAAATCATTATCTTCAGGTTGCAGACACGTGCAAAATTGAAGACCAGCATGAGGCAGCCATTATGCTTAGTTTACGTGAATGTGGTCCGGCTCACATGGGCTCTGGAAGAGCCTTAGCAGCTTGGGCTTGCATCGTGGCTCAACCACATTGTGTTTGCCATGGCCACTGTGTAGCACTTTAGTCATAAACATGAGTAATAGGTCCCCACCTGTAGAAATATAGACTTCTGGCTGTGCTTCCATGGCATTAAAGTGTGGTGTTGTTTTTTCCTCTAGTTTGAAATCAGGCAGCTGAGGGCCCACCTTGCTCAGCAGGATTTGGACCTGGCTGCAGAGAGAGAAGCTGCGCTGCAGGCTCCACATGTGCTGAACAAACAGAGCAGCAACAGGTATAAGGTGGTAGCAACTGAAGATTCGGATGACGAAGCCACCGAGAACATCACTGAGTTGCGACCTCCACGAGGTGAGTGCTGCCTGTGTGATGCTACCTTCTGGCTCAGCTGATCCCTACATAACCTTCACTCTGCCAGTGAATTGATTACTTTCTCTGGAGACTGTGCCTTCCCTTTTTTGCAAAGAGGCTGCATCTGCTTTGAAGTGACAGGAACCGCTGTATCTGCAGACAGATTCTGAACAGACAATGAAAAGACTCAGGAAGGAAATGACTGTGACATACCTTCCCAGTGTCCTCATGATTATAGCCATCAAACACTAGAGACGCAGCAACCAAATCAGAAATGGATTCTCCAGAAAGGAGAATCACTCAGAGGTAAAAGCAGGGAAATTGAGAACATTGAAAAACAGGTTTGGTCTTTGACTGCATGCATTTCTGTGGTTTAGAGAGGACCCATGCATCAGCTGTGAGGGTTGCCTTGCCTAGAGGCTATGCTGTCACCAAATTGCATAAAACTGCCAGTGCTGGCCAGTCCAGCTGTGATGAGACAGTGCAGCTCTGGTGGCAGCCAAGGAGTGGGGCGCTGTGTAGGCAGCTCCGTCTCCAATGCCCAAGTGCCACATGGCTACGGTGAAGAGCAGTCCATCATCTGTGAGCTGTCTGTCAGGCAGGTGTGTGGTTCAGAGAAATATCAACAGTTATATTTACTTGGATCCATTGTTATCACGCAAGTGCTAGACTGGAATTATTACTGGAAAGGACATAGCTCTTTTTGCTGTGATCTCCCAACCCTTAAAATGGAGTGCAGAATGTGTCCTGATCTCAGTAGCATTTAAAGTAATATTCCAGAGAAGACGACACTTTCTACAGTAGTGATATGTTAGTCTTCATTGGACATCTTAGCTTTATTATTTCAGTAGATGAGCAGTATGTGTTTATGTCTGAATTGGAGGTTCGCAGGGTATTTTTATGTTTGTTGGACTCCTTAGAATGCAAGGCACAGAAGTACTTTAACCAAAAGGTTTAAGAGCAGCAGCCCACCAGGTATTTTCAACTGAGAATCCTTTCCATTCTCTACACAGAAATGAAAGCATATAGAAATTGGTTTTGGTTTTTTTCCTTCTTTAGAATATCTAAGTGCTAACCACAGTTCAGCCATTATTTATTCCCAATTTATAATTGTATTTTTCTCCCTAAAATGCATTTCCCCTTTTTTTTGTAGTATCTCAGAGGTTTCCTTGGTGGATATATTATTACTTATGCATGTCTTCCTTGAGGGTTACATCTGGAACTGCACAGTGTTGTACACATAATAAGGAGGCTTGCTGAAATTTTAGTGCTGTGGAGGTTCATCTAGAAATTCTTCTGTTCAAGGCATTTATTGCAACATCCAGATTAAAACAATTGTTGATTATTTGGGTCTCCCTGTAAAGTGCTGGCCAGACATACAACGGAGTAGAGACACAATCTTCAGGATCAATTTCTGCATTCAGCTAGGCTACGTGATTAAGGAGATGCACGCCTTCCACTGAAAAAAGATGTTCAGCAGATAAGAAAACAAGCATTATCGAGTAAGGTGCAGTTCTGTTTAAACAGTCATACTGAGTATACAAAATTAATTTCACATCTAAAAATACTAGAGTGAGTATTTTTTGTGCGTTGTATGGTATATTACATACAAAGCCTTTGTAGATGCATTGAGTGTTTGTCTGCAGAAGTTAAATTCTGGTGACTGTCCTTTAACAGTTGTCCTTTTGGTTGAATGAGGCAGGTGCTGGACAGAAAAACGTGTGCTGTGATCTTATAGCAGGGTACACCCATCGGTGGTAGTCTACCATCACGGTAAACTACCAACAAGGGACCAAATTAAGATTGCATGAGAAACCACAAGCCCAGCAGTAGCGTTCAGTGCTCACAACTGAGGGAACAGTCAATTGAGGCGCAAGATTTTGCGTGCAGTTTCCTCGATTATTTTGCAAAGGAGAGAATCGGTAAGCTACCAAGGCTTTGGCTCCTGCACTAGCAGTGCTGGTTTGGAGATTGCTTCTGTGTAAGCTACAGGACTTCAAAACCTCAACTAATCGCTTGAGAAAGTGGTTATTCCTGGGGAAGAAGGATCATGAGGAAGCCCTACCCGAACTGGCTCTTCCTTGTCCAGCCCTCCTAACACCAGCTCACATTCTCACTAATACGCCAGCTGTTGCTGCAGCAGCTCTTGCCACTGCCCTGTTGGCATGCTGCCAGCGTGCTCCTCCTCTGCGCCGTGGCTGCTGCGGCCAGCAGGTAACCAGCAGAAGAGCACATCTCCAGCTGTGCCGCACCGGCGTGGTGCAGCAGGGCTGCAGGATCTCCCGTGTCCCCACTGCTCAGGCACAGGAAATGCTCCTGAGACGCTGGCTCTGCAGAGCATGGATGACTGAGGCGCTTTCTGTATCCTCCCACTTCTCACGTGCCGTGGTTATGCTGGCTGTGCTATCTTCAGGGCTTTCCACACCACTTGCTCTGCCTGGAACTGTAAGCTACTGGTATTTTAACTCCAGACTTTTGGGTCAGGGGTTATGTTTTGCAAGCTACCCTCTCTGTGTCAGATCATGCTAGGAAGTGCTTTGCATTCATTTTTTCTAAGCTGTGTTTTCTTCCTTAAAGATTCCAGAGTGAAGACTGTAGTTCATCATTCTGTGTGCCACATGGAATTTGTGAGCTTTGAAAAATGCCTGCAATTACCTATGACATGGACTAGCTGGGGGAGAACTAAGGGGACTGGGTTGCTAATACTTTTTAAAAAAATACAGTTCAAAGCCACAACTCATCCGTTAGACAAAACAGGCTCTGATAAGCCATTCTCTTATGCTCTGGCAGAACAGTAACCCTGCATACAACACCTGAAGGTAGGGCATGGCATGGAATGCATGCATTTGTGCCAAACTTAACTTAGCCTTCAAGAAATGACCGTCTTTGGAGAGCCCTGAATTCTGCCAAACCAGCAAGCTTGAATTGGCTAGAGAACATACTGCATGAGAAAATGAGATATTCCGTTGCAAGCAAATCTGATTTCCCCCCTGTACGTTGAACAATGGAAACATTCAGTGCAGAACACTTTACCACAAAGGGGTTGTGGAATAAGAAACCATTGAGACCTTTTACTCATTTCCCTACCTGGGAGTTTTATGGGATAGTGCATAAGTTAAAGCTCCTGAGGGGCAGCTGTAGCTTCTACTCTGGTATTTACACTGGATATTGTGCAACCTTTTACTACAGCATTTGGTAAAGTAAGTCCGGTAACCACAGCATCGCGTGGTACATGCAGCACTTCAGAGAATTTCTGTAGAGGCACACACTGTGGCCTGCACCAGGAGAAGGCTGTCTCTGCAGTATAATTTGGTAGCTTTCAGTATGTGTTTTCACCCAGCTTTTCTTTCTCTTTGTATCTGAAGCACCTTAATTGCTGATACGAGACTGGAAGACTCAAGAGCTCTAGTCAGACAGTCAGCTGTCTCTGAAAGCGTCCCGTAACTCCCCAACTTATACTTCATGCTTCTTGAAGAACCACTTCTTGAGGCTGTACAGCTGTAGGCTGATTATGGCCCGGTCAGTCCTGTGCTAATTGTCTGAATAATGAGCTGGTTGCTGCCTTACATGCTTCTATCTCCCCAGAGCAGTTCACTGGGAGACCACCTAACATAGTAGGAGTAGTTCTGTGGAAAATGTATGGCTATGTGGTAAGTTCTTATTAGTTTGGCTAAAAAGCTGGAAATTTTTCACCTTCAACTCGCTTTGAATGGACATTTTATTTGGCTTGCCAAAAAATTGATCTCCAGAGCAGACAAATGTGAAGGCTAAAACACAGGCTTCAGCATGCACGTCAAAGGGTGAGTACTGTTATCAACACCAGGAAAGATGAGGGACTCAAGAGAAGGGCATGACTCTAGGAGCTATAAGCCCAGGTCAAAGCTGTGGTGTTTGCTGCACTGTGAGCACTTAGCTTCTCTGCCTTGGTCTGTAAAGAGCTTAGGGTGAGAGCTGTTGCATGTGAATGCACAGCAGCATTGCTAATGATTTTCAGGACTACTGTGGTCAGCCTTTCTCTAAGAGCAAGATCCTAAGTGCTGTCATCTTGCTTCTTCCCAGAGACGGTTACCCTGTGACATAATTGCAAATATTATCCTATCTGTTCACTTCTAAATTATAAAGGAAGTTTTTTCTCTTGTCGGGTTCTTACCTCGTACAGTATGTAACTGGTTGCAGTCAGAATAACTGCTAATGTTTTCTGCTCCTGCACAAATCATTTTTACTGTTTGGTATACAAAGTTCCAGGCTTCAGGGAACGCCAGATTCACAGTGCCCTGTATAGTCATTAATACTTCCTTCCAAAATTTATTATTCTTTAATCTCTCCCATAATACATGAATTAGAGTCCCTAGTGGAAATTGCTCATTTTCCTGCATAGATCATTTCAGGTTTTGAAATTCTACAGTACTGCCATAGTTTTAAGATGACTATGCCAGCCTTCTATTCCTTTGAGCAAGAGCTGGATCCTAGCTCGGTTGCTTTGCATCGCAGAAAGCTTAGTTTAGCTATTCTGAGTCAAATTTCCATTTTTATGGGGTTAGCAGTAAGTCTTTGGGGCACTGCTGCAATTTATGATCATGCTTGGAAAAAAGTAAAGCTTGCTCTCTTCATAGGTCCCTACTGTTTTGTAAGTGAAGCAAGTAGGATATTGGGAGGGGAACGTGAAGAATTCTGGAGCTTCAGAGGGCTTCCCTTAAGATAATTCATAAGCTGGCTGAGAAGGTAAAGCAGGGCACTGGAAAGGATTTTGTCAGTTGTTCCCTGCAAGGCAGTCTGAGCTGGTTGAACACTTTTAAACTCTAAGCCAGTTCCTTTGGTGATCATCTGTTAGTCCTCTAAGAGCCCTGTTACTGCAAAACAATAGATAAAAACCAGTTTATGGTTATTTTCAAATGTTGAAATGTATCTACTTTGAAGCCTGCTTCTGGAAATGGTTATATCTTGAGTGCACTTCGCTTCCCTGTTAAATTCCATGTATCTGTGGAAGAGGGAGGATTTGG